CCTATGCAATGCTGGCGTGGTTCCTGTGGGAATGCCTTGCATGCAGAGCTCTTGTTGTAAACTTTTTTCTGGGGCAACAATTACTTCTGGTGATGTTGTCTTTTTGCACAATGGAGGCTCACCAGCTTTCAATGCAGCTCAAGAGCATTGCTTTTTGAAAGTCCCATGTGGTGATGTGGCCCTTGTCGAAAAATATTTGTTCCAGGAAATTTCAAACAAACAAAATGTTTCCAAATGGACAGTGGCGGTGCCCAGAAATCCGGGTCTTGCTTCTTTACAAGAAATCTCGTGTGCTGTCACTTACAATGCTGCCAAAGGCAGGGTGACATGCCTCACCCCTGCATTCTTGCAACTTTGAAGGGACATGCAATTTCCATCCACAGCAAATGTCTTTGGAAAACAAGCTTCGATGGTATGCACAACAGCCGCAACGTTTTATTTTTACTAATCTTTCTGAAGCCTGCTGCAAAGCCAACCGCTGGAAACACTTCAGCTGGGTTTCCGTGAGTTAAATGGCCACAAATCCTGTTGAACTTCACCTCACTCTGCACCAAAGCCTCCCGGAACCTTCTCCGGAAACCAGGCTCTGGAGGATTAAAAGGATTAAAAGGATTAAATCATTTAATCCTTTTAATCCTTTTAATCCTTTTAATCATTTTAATCCTTTTAATCCTCCAAACCTCCCCGAATCCCGAGAAAAGCCCCGCACTTTAATTCTTTAAATCCTTTTAATCCTTTTAATCCTCCAAAAGGCTCTGGAGGATTAAAAGGATTAAATCATTTAATCCTTTTAATCCTTTTAATCCTTTTAATCCTTTTAATCCTTTTAATCCTCCAAACCTCCCCGAATCCCGAGAAAAGCCCCGCACTTTAATTCTTTAAATCCTTTTAATCCTTTTAATCCTCCAAAAGGCTCTGGAGGATTAAAAGGAATAAAAGGATTAAAAGGATTAAAAGGATTAAATCATTTAATCCGTTTAATCCTTTTAATCCCCAAAGGGCTCTGGAGGATTAAAAGGATTAAATGGATTTAAATATATTTCTCAAGGGCTTGGACCGGGAATTCCGGACCCCCTGCAGGATTAAAAGGATTAAAAGGATTAAAGGGATTAAAAGGATTAAATAATTTAATCCTTTTAATCCTTTTAATCCCCCAAAAGCTCTGGAGGATTAAAAGGATTAAAAGGATTAAATCATTTAATCCTTTTAATCCATTTAATCCCCCAAAAGGCTCTGGAGGATTAAAAGGATTAAATCATTAAATCCGTTTAATCCCTTTAATCCTCCAAAAGGCACGGGGGGATTAAAAGGATTAAAAGGATTAAATCATTTAATCCGTTTAATCCTTTTAATCCCCCAAAAGGCTCTGGAGGATTAAAAGGATTAAATGGATTTAAATATATTTCTCAAGGGCTTGGACCGGGAATTCCGGACCCCCTGGAGGATTAAAAGGATTAAAAGGATTAAATCATTTAATCCTTTTATTCCTTTTAATCCACCAAAAGCCTCTGGAGGATTAAAAGGATTAAAATGATTTAATCCTTTTAATCCTTTTAATCCTTTTAATCCTCCAAAAGCCACGGGGGGATTAAAAGGATTAAAAGGATTAAATCATTTAATCCTTTTAATCCTTTTAATCCTCCAAAGCCTCTGGAGGACTAAAAGGATTAAAAGGATTAAATGCTTGGTCCTCACATTGGGGTTCTGGGGGCTCTGGAGGATTAAAAGGATTAAAAGGATTAAAGGGATTAAAAGGATTAAATGATTTAATCCTTTTAATCCTTTTAATCCCCCAAAAGCTCTGGAGGATTAAAAGGATTTAAAGGATTAAATCATTTAATCCTTTTAATCCATTTATTCCCCCAAAAGGCTCTGGAGGATTAAAAGGATTAAAAGGATTAAATCATTTAATCCTTTTAATCCGTTTAATCCTCCAACAGGCACGGGGGGGATTAAAAGGATTAAAAGGATTAAAAGGATTAAATCATTTAATCCTTTTAATCCTTTTAATCCTCCAAAGCCTCTGGAGGACTAAAAGGATGAAAAGGATTAAATGCTTGGTCCTCACATGGGGGTTCTGGGGGCTCTGGAGGATTAAAAGGATTAAAAGGATTAAAGGGATTAAAAGGATTAAATGATTTAATTCTTTTAATCCTTTTAATCCTTTTAATCCTTTTAATCCTCCAAAGCCTCTGGAGGACTAAAGGGATTAAAAGGATTAAATGCTTGGTCCTCACATTGGGGTTCTGGGGGCTCTGGAGGATTAAAAGGATTAAAGGGATTAAAAGGATTAAATGATTTAATCCTTTTAATCCTTTTAATCCCCCAAAAGCTCTGGAGGATTAAAAGGATTAAAAGGATTAAATCATTTAATCCTTTTAATCCATTTAATCCCCCAAAGGCTCCGGAGGATTAAAAGGATTAAATCATTTAATCCTTTTAATCCGTTTAATCCCCCAAAGGCTCTGGAGGATTAAAAGGATTAAAAGGATTAAATCATTTAATCCTTTTAATCCGTTTAATCCCCCAAAGGCTCTGGAGGATTAAAAGGATTAAAAGGATTAAATGATTTAATCCTTTTAATCCGTTTAATCCCCCAAAGGCTCTGGAGGATTAAAAGGATTAAAAGGATTAAATCATTTAATCCTTTTATTCCTTTTAATCCACCAAAAGGCTCTGGAGGATTAAAAGGATTAAAAGGATTAAATCATTTAATCCTTTTAATCCTTTTAATCCTCCAAAAGCCACGGGGGGATTAAAAGGATTAAAAGGATTAAATCATTTAATCCTTTTAATCCTTTTAATCCTCCAAAGCCTCTGGAGGACTAAAAGGATTAAAAGGATTAAATCATTTAATTCTTTAAATCCTCTCAATGTTCCAAAAAGCTTTGAAAATTATCATAATTAACCGGAACAAAATGGTACCTAAAGGTCTCTCGATCATATATATATATATGATATATAGTTATTAAAATTTGATTTAATGTTAATTTTCATTTTGTGTATGGTCTGTTATTTGATATGTTTTGAAACATATAATATGTATATTTATTGAATATTCAGTTTTTATATATCAAGAAAAGTTATATGTATTAGATATGTGTTCAACATAAGTGTTGTTTATTTTTGATTAATTATATATATATGTTTCTTATTCACGAAATAATACATTTAATATAGTACGATGTACATATAGAATTTAATATCTTTAATATGTATATGTATTTGTAAATACATGTAATACATATATATATATATTAGAGCAAATAAATATGTATATATATATATGCATCATAAAGCCTAGTTAAACTTGTTATCCAAGGAAGTTTGGAAATCAAACTTCTGACAGTATGGACAGATGAAGCAGCAGAGGTGGGAAGAGTCAAAGAAGAGAAGAGCAAGAAGAGAAAGAGTCAGGAGAAAGAAGATCGAGGTGCGCGAAAAAGTAGAAAAGTCGCGAAACACTATGCTTTCCAATGTTTTGTGGCTCTGGCGGGCGGGTTGAAAAGTAGGCTGGCTAAAGCGGCGGGTGTGGAGCCATTTGGTTAGATGAGAGATCAAAAATTGCACACCACTGTGGTGCTAAGCAGATTTTGAAGTCAAACTGCTAACACCTTACGTCCGGAGCAATTTTTGCTGTTGAGCTGTTGAAAAAGAGCAAGCGACTATATGGCTCGAAGCACATGTCCACTTCAGGATGTTAAAGCCACCTCGGGTTCGGAGCACTTTTGGAAGGTGAGCTGTTGAAAAACCGCACGAAGCACATTTCCCACTCAAAATGTTAAAAGCACCGCGGGTTCGGAGCACTTTTGGCAGGTGAGCTGTTGAAAGTGCAAGCGACTGTGGCGTGAACTCATTTGGACGTCAGAATGTTCAAAACACTGGGGGTTCGGAGCTTTTTTGGCAGTTGAGATGTTGAAAAAGCGCACGCCACCTACACCTACAACTACAATTACCTTTGCAAGAGACCCCAAACAGTGTGGGGAAGGGGACCGGGTGGTTACATTACAATTACAACTACAACTAAATTACAACTACAACTACAACTACACGACAACTACAACTACAACTACAACTACAACTACACTGCACTAAAGACAGCGGGAGAGATAGAGAGATGCAGAGAGAAGGTGACGGAGAGTGTGAGAGAGAGAGGGAGGGGGGAGAGAGAGAGATTCAGAGCCTCAACCACCTTTCGATCCATAAGTGGGTTCGCTCTGCCATCCATGCATCACAACAATTCACCTCTCCTATAGTTTCCTATCTTTGAAACTTCCGCCACCGCTTTGCGCGGTACCACTGGTAAACAAACGTACCTAACGAACTGGCGCACAAGCTTGTATCCAAGGGGATGTTGTAAATCATTTCTTATCGCCCTTCGGAAGTTCCCGAAACCCCCAATTCAAAGGGTAAGGTGCCAACACTTCATGGTGGTTTCACTTGTTGACGCTGCAGCAGACAGCAACCATAGTCGAACTATATGATTACCATTTGCAAGCCCCTTCCCTGAGTATTCCGACCTGGCGTGCCAAAACATCCGCCATGAAAGATCATGAAAGTAGATGGTGCTTCCGAAGGGCAGATGAAAATTCAGCAGGGAAACAGGAAACATCCCATCTTCAGCGGATTATAAGGTGGTCCAGTGTTTGAGACAGCCCGATTTGGTGGGTTAATGGTTGATGGTTGCTTCACTTTCTTTATCATTTTCATCCCTTGGCTCGGATGGTTGGAAACGACCAATTACTGTAGGCATCCCATCAAAGTCCAACCCAAGAGTGGGATATGTTCAAGGGCCAAAAATTGTTTTCCATGTGAACTTGCAGAGGGGCGGTACTTTCTTCATCTTTCTTCTAATGCCCACTGGGGATCAAACATGGCAACGGAAAGGGTTCCGTTAATAGACATTTTTCCGATTTAAATGTCGGTTTATATAGGGTTTCACAGCTAGGCATGGAACTGATTGCAAGAAGGTATTCCAATCGGTTGACCTCATCCGGCAG